AATTTTGTATTGATTCAGGCAGAACAATACGTAGACAATCCCGCACAGATAGGAGCCGCCCCCCCCCCCTCATTCCCCCCCCCCCCCCCCCCCCCCCCCCCCCCCGACCAACCTCCCTCGCCCTCCCCCAGCCCATCACTGTCAACCCTCACCTCCCTACCCAACCACAGCCCCTACATCCCCACCTAAAGTGCCGGCCTGGAAGAATCTCCACAGCATCGCCAATGAAGCAGAAGTCAGAGGAAGATGGATGCAGAGTGGGCTCGTTGGAAGATGTAGGGGTTAAGCAGGGTTTAATAAAGACAGGAGAGAATGAAGGGATTGGACGGCAAAGCAACGGCGACATCGGAGCAGGTACAAGCTATAAGGAGTAGATGGGACATAAACCGAGCTAAAGGGAGAAACGGAAAAAGGGGACGAGGGGACGAGAGAGCAAGGAAGGAGAAGTGGAAGAAGAGAACTGTGGTATCTGGGTGGATATCTACAGATAAGACAGCCTTCAAGCATGTAATGCTGTAATGCAGCTGAAGCAAGAACATCCCAACAAGCCCGCCAGGGTCCTCCTATCCGCCACAATGGGATCAGCAGGACAGAAGACAAATGTGCGGACACCTCATCACGACAAGGACAAGGACAAACACGATAAGCCATTTCAAGTGTCCGGCAGTAGGGGAGAGAGGGTTAAGGACTTAGAGAATTAAGGGTTTTAGGGTTTAGGGTTCGGGGTTTAGGGTTCAGGGTTTAGGGTTCGGGGTTTAGGGTTTAGGGTTCGGGGTTTAGGGTATCAAAACAATGCACTGAAACTGTGGGTGATTATTCATCACGGACAAGGGTTCGGGGTTTAGGGGTTTAGTGTTCATCACGGACAAGACAATGCACTGAAACTGTGGGCGATTATTCAACAGCACATCCGGCACTTTGCCTCAACCACAAAACACAAAAGACACAGGCACGTGGGGGTAACTTGAGGACTTGGCGGGCATCTCAGGAAACACACTCACAAGTTGCACCCCTACACTGATACGCACATACACACAGAGTTCATATCCACTGCAACTCACAAGTCACAACAATTCACAATGTACAAATCTCCACTATACAAATGCACGCACATCTCATTTCACACAAACGCACGCAGCACGCCTATCCAAGGCTGTAACATGCATAATAGACAGAATGAGACTTCATAGGCACGACCTCTCACATGGAAAGCACAGTCTAATAGTCTATACTCTTACACCTTAATACATTCGCACTAACGGACATGCACAGACATAAAGACTTCACAACTACTGCAACTCAGAACTCACAACCCAGAAATCTCAAATCTCAACTCACAACTCACAGCATCCATGCCTGCACAAGGCTGTAATATACACAATATACACAATGGACAACAGATACGGCTCATTGCACACTAACCTACACTTACTTACACTTACACTTACATAGTACACCTGGGTAAGGCTGTAAGATATACGGAAGGATGGAACCCAGGGCATACCACAGCCCAGTCTGTACAAGCAGATCGAACATTCATATAGCATGTCTACTTCTCAACAGATGATGTATAGGGACGCTGGACCCGTTTTCCAGCAGGTGATGCCCCCCACCAATAGATGGGGGCCCCCGGGAGCCCTAGTGGTGCCTGCACATACCAGCACCCCTAGCATGAACTCGAATCGTTTCTGAAAAAAAAAAAGGGTTGTCAAGGGGTCATTTCTCCACAGGAAGGCTGTGAGGGCCAACCGGGCGCAGTGCCCAAGGCTGATATTACTTGTAGCCTTGTAGGGTTGTCAAGGGGTCATTTCTCCAGAGGAAGGCTGTGAGGGCCATCTGGAGGGGTCTCATGCTGCTTTCACTAGGAGACGACAACATAGACCAGGTCCTGTACTGGATGGACCCCAGGATGACGCTGTTGATGACATGCAGTCGCCCAAGCAGTGACGGACGTTGCCTTTTCAAACCACCAGTTCATATGAGGGCCAAAGTGGACGAAGCTACTTTCCAAGCCTCGCAAGCCTGCCACTGCACCTTTTCAAAGTGGCCTAGGCTGCCCCTTTTGCTACGGACCCAGGCCCGAATCCAAATGCTCTTACCCCGTAAATCGGTAAGGGCAGTGCTCTGCTATGGGTGAACTGGCGGCTTAAGAACAAACAAACAAGAAGCAAAAACAGGGTAGGCCCCCTGGGGATATTAGGCAAATGGGGTACCGCAGCCGCTCTACGGCCAAGCTGGCTACCGACTCCGGATCTTCATTGGGCATCACAGGCTGCTACCCATCTGTGGGGTGAAGGTCGCCAGCAATGGGATCATGGTGGTGCAGGTGACGACAACCGTCAGGAGGAACACTTGTCGCCAACATGTTATGACCCAGCAGGTGGTGTTGTGGTGGCATTCTTTGCCAGTGACGTACTATGGCCCACGAGCTCCGGAAGGCCCGGGTCCTCTGCGACTGACAGGGCTGACATTATTATTATTATTATTTTATTGTTTTCATTCTTTGGAATTCACCCCCGATGGAAAAAGCTGTCCTGCAACCAAAGGTGGCATTTGTGTCCTAGTTGGTCTCCATACGACAAAGTGTTTCTCAAAGTTGAATTCTTGAGGAAGGGGAGGATGGAGCCAATCCGAAGGCCCGTGAAGGTGGCCCCTGAGTCCTGACTGAGCATTATTCATGCTTAAGGAGTGTGTTCCTCTGGCTTGGGGAGCACCTGTTTCGTAGAGGCCAAAGCTAGTAAGTAGCAAATTTAATCTGACTGGAGTTTATCTTAGTGGCCGCCTCCCTTCCTCGACTCTAGGTAGGATGACAACAGTTTATGTATGCTATCAAAAAATGATTCAAATTACTATTAATACAGTACCCCCCCCCAAAACAACAAAAAGCAGTTTACATATTATCCAGCAGCTGACAGATGGTACTCTGATGGTGTGAGACTACTAACCCAACAACCCAACCGGCCTAGATCAGTTGGTACACCCATGAACTGTGGAAACAAAGACCTGAGTTCGAGTCCCGATGGAATCGGATGAGTAATAACTCCTAGTTCACCTGGGGCCGGTCAGTTTAAACTTTAAAGATGATAGCTGAAGGCTGTCGCCCTTTTCCGAAAAAAAGGGAGGAAAAGGAGGACTGACGAGACTGGAAAGACAACGAGGAATGGGGTGCCATGGTAGGCAGGCTAGCGTGCGAGGAGGGGAGCTGCCATCTTTATCGGAGAGATCAGCCCAATGCATTTCAAAAGGACTTCCTTTCGTCAATTAGGAGGTGGTAAGACCTTTGCGCTAGCGCTAGCGCCCTGACGCCGGCAGACCGGCAAGGCCCGGTTCCCCCGGCTAGACTAGCGCCTGGGGAGAGGAGCTCCCCCGCTGCTAGGCCTGTGCGCGCGCCCGGCAGACGTGCGTGGCTTCTTGATTGGCCACGTGGCAGCTGCTGTTGGTGACACGAACGACCGTGATGCACGGGCAGGGGGTGCGCCAGCCGTGAGAGTGACGAGGAAACACATAGGGGCGCAGCTACCTGGGTTAGCGATGGAATTGGTGGGGAAGCTACAACATGACGACGTCTGACCTGGAGAGGACGGTGGGCAAGATGAGGACAATGTCGTCAACTACTATGCACATATTTGCGCAGTCTGCGCGGATGGGGAAACCGATGGGGAAACCAAAAACGAGTGGCACAGAGATGAGCATAGGGGGGAGGTCGGCGGGTGGTGGGAGAACTGAAGAGGGATGATGAGGGTGTCGGTGCCGGCAGGTGGTGGGGAGACCTGATGATTGATGATGAGAGTGCCGGTGCTGACATTGACTCTCATCCGCTTCAGGGTATGGGAGACCAGGCAGGAATGTGGGTGGAAGGTGAGTGGGAGGTGGTGTTGGAGCAGATACCAACGGTGGCGGCTGAGGGGAAGACAACAGAGACGACAGCTACAGCTACAGCGATGACAGCCACAATAACAACAACAACGGTAATAACAACAACAATGTTACCAGCGCCCGACGTGGACGAAGGCTCTCACTCTCATCAGTCTGATGAAGCAAGCGAGGCAGGCAAGAGGGATGTGGCGATCGGCGTTGGCGAAGAATCTCACCCTCATCAGCTTGATGAGGCAGGCGCGGTAGGCGAGAGGTACGTGGAACTGGGGATGATGGCAACTTCAACGGCAGGCGAGAGGGACGTGGTGATCGGCGTTGACGGAGACTTTCACCCTCATCAGCTTGATGAGGCAGACGCGGAAGGCAAGAAGGACGTGGAACTGGGGATGATGGTAACTGCAATGACATCAATAACAACAACAGCAACCACAATAATAACTACACTGACAACAATTGCAATGGCAACAACAACAACAACAACAACAACAACAACAACAACAACAGCGACAGCTAAAACGACAACAACAAACCGGGCACAGACAAGGGCCGCCACAACGATAGCTACAAACTTAAAGATAAGTACAACATCCGCATCAACTTCTGCTTCAGTGCTGCGGGCAAGGATTCATGTTTGGTGTAGGATGGCGAGGTGGGGTAAGGGATTGAAAGTGAGTGTTATTACTATTCCCCCTCCCCTCTACTCGGTTTCTTTGCATGGCTTGTTTTGCTTCGATTGGGTTGGAGTGGGATAGGGACCTCCCTCGCGTGAAGCAGGGTTCACCAATTCTTTGCATGAAGGGGTGCCGTTTGGCCCCATATGGAGGTAGGGTGAATAGGGCTTGAAGGATAGGGTTTGAAGGATAGGGTTTGAAGGTCGGATGATATCGTGAATCTGCGTGTCTACATAGTCTGTTGGTTGGATGATGCCTTATGGGCAGGAGGTCAATCCTTCTCTTGCGTAGAGAAGTAATCAATGCCTCTGCCCTTTTTCAGAGATATAGGCTGAGCTGTGATTTAGTGCAGAATGGATTGTAAGTGAGGCACGCCACATCATCGTACAGGGTAGCTGGACCCGATCTCTAGCATATTATGCATATTATGCACATTATGCACACATCATGCACACAGACCTCATCAGGGTAGGGTTTGGTGCTTGGTCTGATTGTTCGGAGTAGGTTCTATGTCATATATGGATTGATATGCGCATATACAGACTGCTCCGGTCTGGAGAACATACTGATATTATATCACTGTATAGGGATGCTGGACCCGATTTCCAGCAGACACACATCACATCGTTGTGCAGGGATGCGTACATTATGTACACAGATCACATCAGGGGTAGGGTCTGGTGCTTGGTCTGATTGCTAGGATTAGGTCGATGTCATACTTGGATTGATGAGCATATACAGACAGTTTCAGACTATAGGATAAAGCTTCACAACACTGTATAGGGATGCTGGACCCGATTTCCAGCTGTCACATCATTGTACAGGGACGCTGGACCCGATTTCCACCAATAGATGGAGTCTTCCACGCCGGGTGCCTACTTATCGCCGTTTATCGGGGATGCTCTTATCACCTCATTAAGTAGGTTTCCCGTATACGAAGTTAAAAAAAAAAAAAAAAGACCGTAAGATATAAAGTGGTGTGGAGTGATGAATTGGAGAGGATCATGAATGACGGTGATGGGCCTTACCCCATCCCCCCTTCTCAGACTGCTGCAAGTACACGACTCGGAGACCATCTGGGGATACGCTGTGGAGGCTCGGCTTCATCACTGGAATATGTAGCTGTTTCTTCTCATCGCTGTGCACTGTGCAGGCCTGCCACAACTGCTGCTTTACGGGAAGTCCAAGTCCAATCACAGCCACACACTCTCCACGGCAGTCACGGCATGGCGGCGTGGACATTTGCCACGCGGCAACAAACTGGCACTAAGTCTTCCGGAATACGCTGGGAACAGGAATCATCCGAATCAAGCATCAACCAGGAGAGTCTAGTAGCCATCTCATCATGTCAGTATAGGTACTGTTCTTCCTTATCCACAAGTAAGAAACTTCAGCTCTTGAGCATCGAGTCTCCTAGAGGGCATTTAGACCTACCTTGATCATCTAGTCTCCTAGAGAATGCGTTATCATGATGGCGCTGACAGTCTTCTAGAAAACGTATGAGAAGAAGGAAGAAAGGGTGCCGGGCCCAGGTCGGTAGTACCTGAGCAGCATACTATTAGCTGGGAAAGTGGTCTGACAGTGTGCCGGACCCAGGAAGAAAGGGTGCCGGACCCAGGAAGGTAGTACCGAACCCTGTTTTCCGCTCTCTCCTTTATGTACACACACCTTTGCTTGGGTCATTCTCTCTGACAGTGTGCATCTGACATGGTCAGTGGCTCTCCTGCCTATAGCTCTGGCGATCCCTCTATATGTGAACCTCGGTTGGCATGGCCTCTAGAAGGCCCCTTTGGGGGTACCAGTTGGTCCCGCACTTCATTCGAGAGTACGCCTATGGCGGCATGAGTCAAACGAGAGGCAGTGGCTGCATTAATTGTCCTTCGAAGTTTGAACATCCGCTTGTTGCAGGGAAGTTCCACCATAGAACGCTCAGTCATTATCGCTGGACCTGGACTGAAAAGTGCCCCAAATGAAGCTATAATGACAGGGCGTTATATTCGGGTGAAGACGGTAGTAGTGTACTTCACTACTAGGGATAGAGAGAATAGCGAGGCTAATATAAAAGGAAAGCTCTTTCACTGCTGACAGTGGAGGGGGTTGCTCGGACATCATGGCGTTGTTCACTCATTCATTCACTATAATTGCGAAAATCAGGGCCCTCAGCAGAGCCCCCCTTCAAGTGACACCCTAAGCGAAGGCGGGCTAGAATATCTTTTTTTTTTTTTTTTTTTTTTTTTAAACACCATCCCCGTCAGTGCTAGTGCTGCTGATACGAGCAGTCACCAGTAGCACCTAAGGGGGGGCTCCGTCTATTGGTGGGGAGCATCACCTGCTGGAAAGCGGGTCCAGCGTCCCATATACAAAAATTCCTGAGAGTCGTACAAGAGTCGTGATTATGGAGCCTGCCAGCATTGATTGCCCTATGTCCATAGGGGATTGACTGAGCAGGTGTGTCTAATGTATCCAGTTTCTCCAATAGTGTAGCACTTATCTTCCGTATCTCTTCACCCCCCAAAAGGAGGCGCTAGATGAACCATTAAGCATTGATACCACTTCGAAGGCTACTCCAGCCGTTCTTGTTGACATGGTTAGCGAGGGCCCTCCCCCGGGGGGCACCAGGGAATGGTCCTCTTATTGTGCTTCAAGGTTGTTCAGGACAGAATTTCAGCCAGTGACAGGGTATGTGGTGGGAAAGGGTCCGGGAAGTCCGAGGGAGGGCGTAGCGGGAATGAGGGCTCTATATTAGTCCAATCCTTAAAAAACAGCCGATAATCCCTCATTTCTTCTAAGTCCTGTGTCGGGCATTATAATTTTTTATGGGTTATGACCAGGCTGTGCCCCGTGCCAGTTGGTTGCGTCCGAGAGCCTGCAACGACGGCTGTGTGAGCAGGACCTTGCTTTCTGCACCTGAAGCTGCAAAAGGGCCTGACGTGGACGAAGGCCTTAACGCCAACGAGGATGCGGCAGCCAGCAGCAGCCACGTCGAGCAGTTGGACGCCTCAACCAACCAGGCTTAGGGCACATTCTGGAAGGGCCCTGGGCACAGATCCTGGGCATGGACGTGATCCTACCACACCTTCACTCAGGCAGGGTCCACTCAGCCAGCCTCTTTCCATACAGGAAAGTGACAGCCTCCAGTCCAGACACTTTCTGGCTGGACGGGATGGTGCGTAAGCCCTAGAGGCAGCACGCTGGCCAGAGCTAATGCGCACACTGGCGTGGTGGGAAGGACAAGCTGGACGTTGAATGCACGGCGGTCATACGCTGGTGCATGAGCCCTGCTGGAGCGCACGCTAGATGCAGCACACTGGCCAGAGCTAATGCGCACACTGCGCTGGAGGGAAGGACAAAGCTGGATGTTGAACATGTGGCGGCCATAGACATGCCGACGTGCTCAATGCCAGTGGAGATGGTTGCAATCATTAGGCGATGGTGTAGAGCCTGTAGTGGGACAGACAGAGGATGAGCTAGGGAGACAGAAGGAAGAACATACCTGGTGTATTGTGGAGGTCTGCATGGGCGACATCTTGAAGTTCATGTACATCGGTCAGCTGCTGAAGTGGAAGTGATCCCGGTTGCATCACGTAGTGTAGGCTAGTATAGGTGTCGTAGGATTTTTTATATTGGCAATTGAGTTCATTGCTTCGCTCTTATTTGGTGTGTAACTTGAAGCACTCTGCTTTCTGTTCGACACACGACTATCTGGCTTTCAATGTGATCATGATGCGATTTGGTTTTCTGTCATAATTCACTCAGTGACACACTCATTTTCCTTGCAATTATTTCGTATTGGAGCTGGTTTGAACCGCTCCATCCGATTCTGCACTCGATTTCCTTTTACCTTGAAACAAGACCACAACAGCTCCTGGCAGCGTAGAGTTTGTTGCCCAGTATGACAAAATGCAGCTGCAGGCTGTTGAGCAACTTCAGAAATCTCAAGATGCAATGAGTATATCTGAGAACAAGCACAGAAGGCCATCTACATTTCAGGTTGGGAATAGGGTCTGGGTAAAATAATCTGAGTTCGGAGAGGAGATCGGCATCTCTAGGAAACTAATGACACGGCTCTTTGGGCGTAGGGAAGTTTTAGACAGCAGATGGCCTTCTGTGACTCGGAATGATCCCGATGGTCCCTCTTATGTGATTCGGATCCGGTCACCTACGCACCTTCCTGTTTTTCATGCCTCCAAACTTGCACATTTCTCTGAGACAGATCAGTTCCCTTCCAGACGATCTATGCTGCCCCTAACCATGGATAGACACATGGACATTGACGATATCGTGGAGCACAGAGACATACCTGTTCCAAAGCCTGTTGGCAGAGGGAGACCCCCGAAACCGCAGAGACAGTTCAAGGTCAGTTTCAGGCATCATACAGATCCAAAGGAAGATCGGTGATTCACGAAAGAGGAGCTTATGAAGACAGCACCTTAGATTGTGTCCCAGTATGCAAGAAGAATCAACGGGAAAGATAAAGTGCAGTAGCAGCTTCTCAGAGGACTATCGAAGCAATGGAGGAGGAAGTGTGAGGATCAGGACCCTCGGCAGAGCCCCTCAAGCGACAACGTGCTCACTCTGAGTGAAGGTGGGCCAGAACTCTGGTCAAGGCCCATTTTTGTGGGTTTTGGCCAGGACTGCGCCCCACGCCAGTTGGTTGTGTCTGAGAGCCTGCATCGGCGGCTGTGTGGGCAGGACCTTGTTTTCTGCGTCCGAAGCTGCAATAGGGCCCGATGTGGACAAAGGCCTTGTGGCCAATGACGACGCAGCAGCCAGCAGCAGCCACATCGAGCAGTTGGACGCCGCAACCAACCGCGCCCAGGGCACATTCTGGAAGGGCCCTGGGCGCAGATCCTGGGCCTGGACGTGATGTTACCGGGTACCACGCCTGCACTCAGGCAGGGCCCACACAGCCAACCACTTTCCATAAAGGAAAGTGACAGCCTCCAGTCCAAATACTTTCTGGCTGGACGCTGCTGCTTGCGCCCTGCTGGAGCGCATGCTACAGGCAACACGATGGCCAGAGCTAATGCGCACACGGACGCTGGTGGGAAGAAGCAGCCGGACGTTGCATGCACGGCAGCCATAGCCAAGGCCCACCTGCTCAATTCTGGGTGAGATGGTGGTGGTCTTTGGGCGATGGTGAAGAGCCTGTGGCAGGACAGACAGGGGATGAGCTAGGGAGACAGAAGGGACGTACCTGGTGTCTCGTGGCGGTCTGCATGAGCGACATCTTTCGGTCGGCTGCTGAAGTGCTGCTGGTTTCATCATATAGTGTAGGGTAGTATAGGTATCGCAGGATTGTAGTTGGGCGCCAGGAGCCAGGTAGATAAGCGACATTGGATGCTTTGCTGGTGGAGGCAAGATGGGGGCTGACATTGACAATTCAGTTCATTATGTTGCTCTTATTTGGCGTGTAACTTGGTGTGTTCTGCTTTCTGTTCGACACATGACTATCTAGCTCTAAATGTGATGATGCAATTTGGTTTTCTGTCATTTGCTCACACTGATTTTCCTTGCACTATTGTATTTATTTGATTGTTCGGTTATTGAAAGAGGAGGGGGAGGTTGCAGAACAGCAATTTCGTCAAAACGGACATATTTTATTTTTTGAACGAAATTGAAAACTAAAAAATTGGCCCAATTTAGGTCTATATTTTCAGCTCCTGAGGGTACGGCGTTCTGAAAACGCCCTACCCCCTGGATGCAAACTAAGTCCACATACATCCAGGGGGGTACGGCGTTTTCAGAACGCCGTACCCCCTGGACTCCAGCTAAGTCCAGATACATCCAAGGGGTCCGGCGTTTTAAGAGCTTGAAATTTCCACCTAAATCGCTCTAATTTATGAGGTTTCAATTTCGTTCAAAAAATAAAATATGTCCGTTTTGACGAAATTGCTGTTGCAGAAGATGAAGTTGGCAAGAATAGAGGAAGATGAAATTGGTTCAACCTTCAAAACTTGTGTCTTCTTCTTCTTCTTCTAGCCTTCTACGTTGTATTCTCCTCTTTGTCTCTTTTCACGTCTTCTTTGTTCCGCACGTCTTGCATTATCTCAAAGTTGGGTTCTGGATTCTGAGTGGCGTAGGATCATAACAACGGCTTCACGTGGGGGCAGACATGGGGACACCAAAATAGGAAACGCGAGTTCTTTTTGTCCTATTCGGCTGAAAACAGGTCATATGTTCGTCGTCCACCCACTTTTAAAAAGAAAAAAAAGTAAAACTTCTGAAAGAGGACGACCAGCAGATCCTTAACGACATAGCACTTTTGGGACGCTGCGGATGCTTGAGAACCGCTTCTCTGAAATGGTGACAATGCAAGGGAATATTCTTCATGAGAAAGTCATAAATGGAGATCTTGAGGATTTGGACGATGATACGCGGATGGTGAGTGAACAACAACGACTTCCTCGAATGATCTCAGAACACCCCGATTAGTAATGCACAAAATGTTGCAATTTGCAAACCTTTCCCAAATTGACAAGATGGGCACAATGAAGTTAATAGGGGCTAGCCCCTAATAAACAGGTTTTGAAAAGGGGCTAGCCCCTATTAACTTCATTGTGCCCATCTGATTCCATCAGGAGTGAACTCACAACCTGTTTAACAGCCGTCATCACATGTTTTTTTTTTTTTTTTTAATGTGTCGTTCGCCGTAGCGGACGCCTTCCAGAAAATCTCAGCGGCCTTTCGGCCACTGAGGGGGTTTGGAATACAGTTTTCAACCAGCAATAGATGCGTCTCGGGTAGCCCTCATGGACTGCGTCATTGCCCCAAGTACCGTTCGACCACATGGGACAGGATACTTTGGCCCTTGTCTGCATTGTTTGCTTTCATATCTTCCTTTAGGTCTTGTTCATTCCCTGACTATTTTATTTGCATCACATGAAAAAAGTAATGTGGCTCAGATCTGGGCTACCAGTCATGCCGACTGGGGACCCAAGGCTGGCACGGGACCTGCCGGGGACGTATGTTTGCACAATAGCAAATCCAACAACTATTGGCTGAGGGTCGCTTCCAAAGTCCTCACGGAATTGTAAAAAAAAAGAATAATAAGAAAGAAAAATCCACACCCTTGGAAGGCCCTTTAAGGCCACTTTCAAGCCCCTGTTTTTTTAAACCCTTCAACTCCCCCAATCCCTACAATGACAAAAAAAAAAAAAAAAAAAGGAATGACATTGTAAATCCATCTGAGCCTGGGCTACTGAATCCGCCCGGCCGTGCAGCCGGAGCATTGCAACTGGGACCCCGCCAAGGAAACTTTTTTCATTTCTTAAACCACCGGTTCACACGCGGTTAAGTTGATGAACCTACCTTCCAAGAATTGCAAGCCTGTGACTGCAAATGTTCGAAGTGCCCTGCTGTGTTAACTACCAGCCCAGGCCCAAATCGGAAATCTCTTATGGTATATAGCCCAGGCCCAAATCGAAAATCTCTTACCCCATATACCAGTAAGAGCCCTGCTCGGCCGTGGATGAACTGGCAGTTTAAAGCACCATGATTAGCAACGAAGGTGCGCAGGTTAACCTGCTGGCTGTTTTGTGGATGTATGAGCCGTCTGCTCTCAGTTAAAAATTTTAACTTAAAATCATTCCTGAATTACGATGGTAAAAGATGCCAAAGGTCTGCATAGCTGGGAACGGGTCTGCTGGTGAAACACCAGTACTTCCCAAAGTTGTGCCGGTTAACAAGCCACGATTTTAGGAAACGTACGGGCCACTACAGGAGTGCCCAAATTCATCTGTCAGTGAGCAGAAACGTTTTTGCACGGAAGTTAGCTGGGCCAAGTACTGGTGGTTAAACCACCAGTTCACCCATAACTATTTTGACGAACCAAAACTTTCAATTTTCTGAGCCTCTAAAAGACTGGCGTGAGGATCAGAGCCCCTCGGCATGGCTCCAGGCCCCTATGCGCCCGCCCTAAGTGAAAGCGGGACAGGATTTTTTATTCGGCCTGAAAGCAGCATGCCACGTGACAGTTGCTGAAGGAAAAAGGGGCCCCGCGGGTTGGTTGGGGTCAAAGGCCTGGGACGCGTGCTGGCTGAACAGCGGGTGCTTCCGGAAGGGCCCCCCGTGGATGGTTAAGACCCGCGGCATCTTCAACCACCTGCCAGTATCAGTTGCTGAGGCCCAGGACCCTTACAGTTTGTGCCCCACGCACATTCTGGAACGGCCCTGGGGTGCAGCAACTGGGACACAGGCGTTGCAGCCAGGCCAGGCCCTTGCAGCCAGTCACTGTCCCTAAAGGAAATTGCCTGCCGCAGTCCACAGTACATTCTGGCTGGATGCTGCTGCGTGAGCGCTGCTGGAGCAGACAGTGACACAGAGCCCTGGCCAGAGAAGAGCGCACATGGGCGATATGGCAAAAAACTGGCACGATGCCATAGCCAAGCCGCTCGCGCACGTAGCCGGTGGGGTCGGTGGTGGTCCTGAACGATCGTCTAGTGCCTGTGTAGGGACAGTCAGCGGATGAGCAAGCGAGAGAGAGACATGTACCTGGTGTTGTGTGGAGGTCTGCATGGGCGACGTCATCATGTACCTCGGTTTGCTGCTGAAGTGATCCTGGTTGCATCACGTAGATCGTAGGCTAGTATAGGTGCGGTCTGATTGTAGTCTGGGGGCCGAGGGACATTGGATACATTGTTGGTGGAGGCGAGATGGGGGCTGACATGGACAGTTGAGTTCATTGCTTTGCTCTTATTTGGTGTGCTCTTGTTTGGTGTGCAACTTGGTGCATTCTCCTTTCTGTTCAGCACACAACCACCTGGCTTTCAATGTGGTGATGCAATTTGGTTTTCTGTAATTCGCTCTCGCTCATTTTCCTTGCACTGGTACCAGCCTCTGAGAAAACTAAAACGTGGTACTGGTACCAGCCTCGTGTCTGTTCATCATGGATGGACCGGAGGTAAAGGAAATAGGCTGTTTCTACTCATTTTCATCAATTTTTTTTCTCCTCCGCTTTTTTTTTCGTGTTTTCACCCTGGCCGCAGCACCGAGATGAAGCGAAACTGTAGCCCTCCCCGCCAGTCCCCCTCTGAGACTTCTGCTGATGTGTCATGGCTGGATACACTCTGCTGCTGCTTGCTGCCACCATGTCCACGATTGGCCTGGACATGGTCACAATAGCAGTGTCAGGATATGCAAAGCATGTGGGTGTCAGAATGGATGAACAATTATCTGCCTGTCCCGGCCACCCACGCTCTCCGTCTCTCTCTCTCTCTCTCTCTCTCTCTCTCTCTCTCTCTCTCTCTCTCTCTCTCTCTCTCTCTGTGTGTGTGTGTGTGTGTGTGTGTGTGTG